TTATGCTCTATATGCAACATTGCAAGTACTTTTTCCCTGATATATTATGGAGGGGTATTCTGTTAAGTCTGTCATGGATGTTTGGAATTCATGAAGTTTGTGAGCTTTTTCAAAGGGTGAGGGTAAAGTAGACAGGTAAGGATCATAGTGTACAACGAAGGGGAATTCGATGCACTGTTTAGGATCAGTCACAATGAATTCTCCATTATTTGAGAAATTCAGATTGCTCTGTTTCCTTTCCTGGCGTGAAAATAACGGCAAACATGTTAAAGAAGAGGTGTGAACATAAAGCAGCACATGGCATTTCGACTTTCACAAAGACTAAAAACGGCGCAAAGGCAGTTTAGGAATCGTGGTCACAAGGAAGCGCTTTCAAAGACCCCTTGGGGAATAGCATAAGAAATGTAGCTGTTTGCTAGTCTTACTGTTTCATCATCATTTAACTCCAGTATTTTCCCAACACGATAGAATCTTATCACTTCGTTAAAATAAATCAACAGGGGAAAAAGACTACACTTTTGAAGCTTACCATGTTGTAGCTTCTCCTTCCCATCTTTTTTCAGGCTGTCTATATCCCCCAGCATGCAAACACCTTGGTGAGCTAACAATACAGATCCACCTGCCGTCAAGTAAAATTCACCTGTTCTCAATCATTTATGTTTCCACCCGTAACTGGAGATCGATAGTGACAGACCCCTCTGCACTTATCTGAAGACGCAAAACAGGAAACTGCTTCCTTGTCTATGTTTCAAGCATTGTTTTGAAGTGATTTTTTTAAGGACACTTTCCAACCACTGACGCAATTCTGAAAGATCTATTTGAAAAAAAGTCCAGCCAGGCTGAAATCATCCCAAGGGTTTTCTAAAAGGTTAATCCCTATTGTTGTGATCGTGTCACGAAACTGACATCATTTCTAAGGGAAAGAGGCCCAATCATCCGCGGTAACTTTCTTTAAAATCTTTAGAAGGATGCAAGTATTTTAATCAAAATGTTCGGGCACTGGAATTAGATGCATGTACCTGGTCTACTGTACATGTACTTACACAGTCATTTTGAGCAGCCGGAGTAGTTGTGTGGTGTTAGTCATCTCGAATCCATAAATATTTAAAACACTACTACCTTGCCATTAATAATTACTGTTTTATGTTTGTCTCAATTGGTGATCAAAAGTACAAGTTCACAGTAGGCCTATAATGCAAAATGTACTTCTAAACTGAATTGTAATTAGGATGGCTGCCGTTGACATGTTTTAAGAACAAATCAGTGATAGAACAAAAACTAAACAATCAATTATTAATATTTTGAATTATGAAATTAATTATTAACATTTTGATTTTCAAGACGAGATAAATGTTTATCTGTGTAAATAATAAATGAGGCAGCTTTCGCCATTTGTTGCTACACTTTGTTGCACACTCTGGGTGAAACATTATAATCCTCTTCTTTATCTGAATATGATAAATCCCAACAGAAATGGAAACTTAAGCCAGTAAATAATGCAATATCCAAGCATTTTGGGTGTGCTCGAAGAAGAGCAACATTGAGGTTTTTCCCAGGGTTGGCATCACAGTTTCGCTTATGAATATTGAAATATCATCAGAACAAAAACAATAGGGTACATTCATGGGGTACATAATACTTTAGGTGAGACAAACATCTGTTAAGTGGGTTTACAAGTGTAAAAGACTTTTCATACATTGCGGAAGAGTACAAAGTTGCAGTAAATTGTGTCTGAGAAAAAATCATTGCGGCTACACTTTAAAAACCAACAATGTCCAGATATGTCAAGCGAATCATTTGAATTTCTTACTTACAAATCCCTACTTTGCCATTCCCCTTAACATTATCAGTCACCACACAGAAGCGGGAATGTAATTTGTGCGTTGCCACAGGAGATAATAAATGTCAAACAGCGAGATTCAAAGCCCCTGCTATGAACTTAGTCGAAAGCAGCAATCAGGTACATTTCCCTCATCTCAACATGCTGTATGCCGAAAACAGTACATGTACAAACCGCCTCGAGCAGAAGCACCCCCTCATCGGTTGAAAAGAGCCAAATAGGTTTGGAGTGTTCATTTTATTGGTAGCAATGCGACTATAATTTGTGCATTTCATAGTTGTTTGTGAACTAGCAAAGTGCAGTTTCTACCAAAAGAAATTGGCCATTCCTCTCTTGACCCAGCTCTGGGCACATACTCAGATGGTCTCAACCAGGAAAAATGGAAACTCTTAAGTTCTTAAGTTCTCGGGGACAAAGTAGCACTTCGTTCTTACTGTGTTGCGGATTCCGTGTTAAGGCGCCTTTCCATAATGTAGGCCTATATTTTTGGGGGGTGCGTTGCGCACAAGATGTGTTCATGGTTTCACCTCCACGGAGACGAAAATCGACTCCACTAACACAACACACATGTGCGTGCTTTCAGCCGTAAAAATTGCCCCGGTGGCGAGAGCGATTTTGACGGATACGCAACGCTTGGCGCAAGTGTTAACGCGCACATGGAAAGGCGCTTTTATGCACGCTGGTACCCAACAAGCGCTGGTCTCTTGCGCTCATTCGGTCAGGTAAGCAATAGCGGTAACAACAGTAGTCTTATGTTCATGGCAAGGCCAATCCAAATATCCTGGGATACAATTTCTGCAATTGTATACAATGTTTATTTTTCCATTTTGACTAACAGGAATAATGCTAATTACCACTTGGTACAACTATAATGAAATTACAACGGAGTTAACAAGGGGTCTAGAAAATCTGCCAGCAGGTTCTCTTTAACGGGTAGCTGTAATCAATTTGTTTTAACACCTAACATTCAAAATGCACCTTTATGTCTCAGTTACCCATAATTAAACTTTTGTTTCATTATTTCAAAGGGTATTTTACTGCCTTTTTGGTTTTTATGGTGATGATATTTCCATATTCGTAAGCAGAACTGTGATTTCATCACTTGCAGCAAGCCTAAATGTTACGTTGGTTGGTACACACAACTTCTTCTTTGCTGATTCGTTGTTGTTTATGTACATAGCAATAATTGAGCACCAATCCCTTCCTCAGAAATGTTTTCAGTAAGTAAATTCCGGGTTCAAAATGCTAACAGAAAAACCTATGTAATGAACTATGTCTTCTCTGGATGACATCACAGCAACAGCGCCCTCGGTTGTCCAGGAAAGCATGGATAGTTTTAAGTGCCTAAAATTGTGTCTGAGAAAAGTTCATTGCGGCTGCACTTTAAAACGTGTGCAGTGACACTTACCTTCAATATAACATCCCGATCCATCGGAGTCCCTGTAGAGGGGGGCAAGCAAAGGCTGGCTGCTGTTGTGAATAATGGCTCGCGGGGCGAAGGAAGCTCCATATATCAATAATCTCTGGATTAGATTGGAATCAACACCCACCGCCATGAGATCGAGAAAACCCTGCAAGTCCTGCAACAGGAATCAATGAAAGCCTACCTACGGTCAAATATAGGAAAATTCAATTTGTTATTTTTTTTTCTCACAAAAACTACACTGATTGTGCTCTGATACGGTTCACTGGTATTCGGTTACCCCTTAAATGATACCACATCAAAACGTACTTTTTGTGTGAATACAAGTCTTTTTTTACAATAAAAATAAACAGACAGCTCAGTCAGTCTTCTTCGATGTAATTTCCATTTTCAAAAATTAAGGTTGTTCGCTCCTTTTTTGTAACTTGACGAGTATTTATGGTGTCTCATCAAAGATTTTGGCCATATATCACGAATGGAATTCCCAACCTCACCACAAACTTGGTAATAAACAGCTCATAAATAAATGAGAAATGCACGTCAACATTCTAAACTATTCAAGCTTTGAAGGAGCGGTGCTACTGACACATCCCTAACCTTATGCAAATGCTTCACCTCTCAACAAAGCAGTGTGAAAATGTTGAATTTATAATGATTTCTTTTCAATTTGCAATATAAATATTCATGAAGCTGCCAACCTGCAGTTGGCGCTCATTCATCTCGCAATCTCATTTACACCATATCGTAAATTAGCCGAAGCAAATATACGTTTACTTCTCTGGACGTATAACTGTGCTTTAAAAAAAGACATTATTTCTACTTTCTTGCATTCATCTTGAAATAAGGAAACCGACTGAATTAGTTTGTCCAGATCTCCGACGGAAATAAATAACAGATGAGGGATGAGGCGGGAGCGGCAAGGGGGGGGTGCGAGGAACAAGGGGGTGCACATTGTGAAATGCCGTGGGTAAATTACACGTTTGGATGAGCGGGAGGCGGCATCGACAAGGCTGAGGAGTATACACAGCTTGAGGCGGTGATAGGTGCCGGCTGGGGTGATCCCATCGGCAAAGAGATAGGCCAGGCCGACAGCAAAGCTCCAAGGAGAGGTGGCTCTGTCTGCGGGGTTGGTATCAAGGGACAGAGTTCGTCTCAGATCAAATTGGGTTAAGGACTGCATTGTATACACTCTTAAAAGCTAGGGAAATACAACTACATGTAGGCCTACATGTAACTTGCAGACAAATGTTCAATGCTCCAAATAAATGACAGACCCAAAACGTCTATTATAAATACTTCACTGATATACGGATTAAAGATATATGACCGAATACCCCTAAGCAGGTTGACGCAGGTAATTTTGATATTTGATTTGGTAATGGCCCTCTTCCCCACTCTCCATACTTCATAAAATTCACCCTTAATAAACATTGTCTACAGAAAGCTTTGGTAGTTACAGGCAATGAATGTTACAAAATCTGCATTGTCCATTGTAAACATAGACATCATTAATTCTTATAATTCATCAGCTTGGTTTCGGAATGGCAGTCCTGAAGAACTAGGACAATCATTATCAGTGATTAATTGGAACATGGTGCAATTGACTGGGCTCATGTGTTACCCCAGAACATGAAAGTAGTTTTAAGTTTGGCATACAAGTAAATTTTGTTTTAATTTGGCCAAAAACAAAATTTATCTCTCGTGTCAGCTCTGATATTTGACTGGTGTTTTCGGAGGAATGAAGGCTATTCCTGTTCATTGCATTCAATTTTTTGATGCAAAGGTTTTTTAAAAGGTGAATATTTGAAAGCAAAAACCTAAATAGTATCTGTTTGTCGCCCAAGTGTAACAAAATTTCATGCATTCCTCTTGTTCAACATAAATTCGATGAGATATAATTAAGTTGTTAGGCCGAACGCATTCGAGTCGTTTCCTAGTCTAGTACAAACATTTCCCAATTATCAGGAATACGATAGTCAATCTAGCAATTAGCGGACACTTTATTAACCGTTCCTTTTAAGTCACTGAACTCAACTTTAGGCCTCCAGGAATGTTTTGAACAGCGTTTCCTCAAGCTTTCCCAGTGGAATGAGGCTCGACTTTAAAAAAAAAAAGGTTCTACATCTACTTTCTTAGTATACGCAGCTTTAATTTTTCCTGGGCAAAAGGCCGAGTAGTGAGTTTGAGATGCCCATGGGAGGAATACTGCAAGGCAAATGGTTCGAACAATAAACGAGATCGCCAACAGGAAATGAATGTTGATCCATCATGCAGCATTAATAAAAGCCAACTTTCCAGTAGGGAGAGCAGGGAGGGGAGGGGGCGGAACAGATTATCTTGCTGACCGAATATGCACTTGTCGGGTTCTACCAGGCATATTTTAAGGAAATGTCATTATTTTGCCCGGGGGGAACTTGCTGAAGCAAAAACCACACAAAGTCATGTGCTACGAGACAGCAGGGATGTACATGTAGCTTGTTTCAAATAGAGGCAATTCATCTTTCTTCCTAATCTTCCTAACAAATGTTCACAAACACATTAAATTTACTTTATTCTTACTTTTCAATAGGGTTTGTATTTTAATCAAGGGATGGCATTCATTCAAGTGAATCGATCATTTACGGTGAATTTCTACACATATGTTCATATAGAATATTCTGATCAAGTATGCTGGGTGTAAGAGGAAGGCTGCGTGAGTTGGACATGTTGGATGTTAACGCTCAGAATTACACATGCAAAACTTTACTTGCTAAAAGTTGCCTCAGCGTTTGTGACAGGTGGTGTCTTGGCTCTTTGGGCATTGTTAGTGCTACCTGGAACAAGTTACATAATACAAAAGTTGTAATTCATGTGTTTCTTGACATTAAAAGAACAAAACCAACTTCTGAAGCATGTCATCATTACATGAAATCTTAATGACCCTATGTTATATTACTTACATATGTTTCTATCACCAATTCTTTTACGGAAAAAATGGAGCTTTTTTTTTCAATAAAAGCACTGGATCAAAACCCTCCTTTATCATGCCACATAATCAAACTGAAATCACCTTCACAAAATTACTAAAAACCTAGGAACGTTATTTCAAAACTAACTCATTTAAAAATACTTACTTTAAAAACATTGTTAGCCTGAAATTGAAGGAAAAAAAGATTACTAAGCATATTTTGAAGAACAAAGAGAAGGTGAATCGGTAGAAGAAAAGATGACTATGCCACTAAGGCATCATTTCAAAATTCCTATTGGTTGACTATAGGACAGGGCCATCTCACCAATAAGAGTGACTTGTGTTGAGTGAATAATGGAGGAAGTAATGCAATAAAAAGGCATTTAGCAGTTAGAATTGGCCACTTGAGAACACCTGACCTGATAGCCAACCGATAATAAATGTATCGGTCGGCCCACTCTGTCCGACATCTACCAGAAAAGAATTTTAAAATGGTGCCTAAAGTATTTGAGAAATTAGAAAAAGCTCATTTGCGTTACGAGGGAATCAGTATATTACTGAACATTTAACTTCAATGTCACCAAGTTTAATGTGCTTTATCAAATTTCAAAATAATTCCATATAAGAGAATGTGTTTGTGTAGAATACACTGCAACTTCTCAATTCGTTTCTTTTAAAATGAATCGAAAGAATCACCTCAATCATAACCGAGACGGCAGAATTTCCGGTAAACTCCTTGACTGGGATTCCAATCACACAGTAGCAGCCACCAAGTTGGAGGTTGAGGAACTCATCTGATGACCAAAGCAAGAAAGTTAAGAGCTACAAAGAGATTATGTTTCCCTTTTAAAAGTATCAATTTATTTTATATGCACTAGTCTTGGTTTCAAGAATTTCATGTACTTTACTGTTAGCAGGTACATGTACTGATCCTTTTGGGCCAAAAGCAATGTGAAGGTCTTGGAACCAAGACTACATGTAGATATGCACTCCAAGACCAGATCTCCAACACTAACTTAAAGACTTTTTACAAAGCATCTTAATCATCCTTATTCCAAATCATGGTTCACTCATCCTTATCGTCACCCTACCTACCTCATTATCATCGTCACCGTCATATCATTATCATCCCCATCACCATCAAAACCTCCATCATCATCACACCAGCAACATCACATTATCAGAATGCCACAGAATCCCCACCACAGCCATCACTGTCACCGCTAGCAATGTTACCACTGCCATATGCCACTGTTAGTTACCTTTACTGATAACATCCTTATTTCTTATTCTCTCCCTTTTTCCCAATACCTCACATCCAGTGAATACACTTCAAGATTACCAGCTGTTTGATCACATTGAATTCCCTGCAGGTCTTACCCCTCAGAACAATAGTGACTGATTGCCTGTATCTCCCCAAGTAGCAGTCTGTACCCCAGAACTGATGAAGAGGAAAAACATCTCCTTCAACCATCTGCACAGTCACTCTCTCTGGAATGTTAAAGTCACGTGAAAATGTCAAGAGATCTCCATTTTCCTTTTTGGCTGTTTTAATGGGTTTCATTCAAAACTTTAGGATGGATACAGGGAAAGAAAATTGTAATTAAGCAAAGCATCCGATAATTCTGCATGCTCATTTTGAAACATTTAGAAGGCCTGATTTTTCATTACGGACTGTACGTAATATGCACCGATCAGCTATGCTTGCTTTCATATCCTCAAAGAGCACTGGGTTTTTGTCATGATTGCCTGTACATTATTATACTTTTATTTTCCCTTATATAAAAAACTGTTTTACAGTATTTTATTTCGTTATATTTTGACTGTAATGCCCATGGGTATTACTTAAGGGGGTATCGAGGGCTGTCACACCCCTCATTGGTTAGTTTTTTTCAAAACAATCAAGGTCTGTCTGCATAAAAAACCAAAGAATGGAGAAAGAAGATGAAAGGATGGCGGATACAGAACACTCATTTTGCGTAACTTCAAACTTCATGTGGCACCCCCCCCATTCAAAATGGTCTAGCAACGCCCGTGGTGCTGGGTGCTCTGTCAGTGAATCCCATCTAGCAGTAAACATCACTTTCTATGAGGAATTCCTCATCTGGCAGTAAACATCAGCTTCTATGAGGAATTCCTCATCAAACTTACAGCTTTTTTCTTACTTGCCTAAAGTAAATGGCTCAATTTTCTCAAGGTCTATTGATAACTATCAAGATGAATGAATATACCTTCATTATCATGATAACTCTCTACACAGTTACCTCCTAAGATTCTACAAGTCACATCTTCCCTTAGAATAGAACCACAGTACACACAGTTAAAGTCTCGCCTGCAGAAACACATGGGGGAAAAAATGGCAGACCAGGATTGCAGGAAGTTCATTTCAAGAGTGCAGGCATACTTAACTAATTTGTTTGCTTCTTGAAAAAAAGGTTAAGATAGTACTGACGTAAACATGTCACACACACAATTATGTGTGTTGAAGTAAAAGGCATTGGCTTGAGGACCAGCGAGTGAACCAACGTACTCCATTTGTTGCACTAAACTTTATGGTTCAAAATGACAATATACTTGATACTCCACAGGTAGTTATTTCTACTTCACTGAGTTGAGCCAGCCAACTTCAATACATTATAACATTTTGAATTCACTCTCTCAAGTTGAGATGCTGTGGTAAAATCTGGCAAAGTACATGAAGAAACATGAACGGATAAGGATGAAGATTTTTTTTCATGTGGGTAAGGCAGAATTTCTGTAAAGAATCTGTTTTTTTGAGTTACCTCACAGTCTGATGCTCTTTGGCCCCCTCAATGTGACATCTAATGTAGAAATTATCTGCTGCGCCATAGCACCGTGACTCTGGACATCTGTATTTTGCACAACGCCTGTAAAGACAAAATTGTAATCGTAAACGACACAACACTAAACTCAAGCAAGAACAATCTCAAGCAAGATATCAACTGGATTAAAGACTCAACAAAGCCACGCATAGCAGCTCAAAGAATAAAATTACAAAATTTATAAATCAAACAAATTACAACAATCTACAGGCTTTGATTTGCAGGGATTGGATCTTCTAGTCACATTCTTTCTTTCATGGCAGTTGATTTCATTATGAGTTCAAGTAATATATGAGCAAAATTACAACATTTATTGTAGACAAATGCAATGCTGATGATGCATATGGGCCTCACAATGTAACCCTTATCCTGTGAGTGTGGGGAGAATTATGGGACTCAAGACTGTTATGGCCAAGTCAGGAAAATCATGATTAAATAAGGCAGCTGGAAATTCCTGCATTTTGCAGGGAGACAATATGCCTTGCTACTTCACAGAGAGTATTTTGAAGCAACGTCTTTGATGATGTATGTGTTTCAATCATACTCACGAATATTTAACAGGGGATGAAATGGAACAAACTGTTCCGACAAATTTGTAGAAACGAGACTCAAACTTGCAACTGTGCAATTCACCAGTTGTTAATTGGTAACTGTTAAGAATGAAAAAACAAATATAATTCTGAGACTTTGTATTTGATAAACCTTTCTTTCATTACCCTATGAGAAATTTAGTGTCACATTTATTTACTTAAGTTTTGTTTTGCTTCAAGGATTTTGCATTTAATGTATATTAATGTTTCACTGTACAACAAGCCAATGACAAAAAAAGGCTTAATGAGTGTAAACATACAGTTTAAATAATTAAAATGATTTTAAAAATTGCAACGGGTAAATTGCCAACCAAAAGGTTGAAGACACCACTTGATATATCATCCAGCTAAAAGCTGTTTAAATGGATTACCAAAGTTCAACATGGAATATTTGATTTGCATTGGTTTCTTCAAATGGGGAGACTTTCAGACTGAGCAAAGCGATTTGTCTGACCTCTTTAGCTGAGGTAAATCCGACAGCTTCAAATTCACGAGGACTTGACTGCAAGTGACTTCTGAAGGTAGTAATTTCAGGCACCTTAAGCTGACATAACAAACCTACAATTAATCAAGAGGAAAGTTAAGAAGTGAAATGAATGTATCAGGAATGAATAAGGTGTTATATAATACAGAAGAAACTACATTCAATCATTTATTTTGTTAAAATTTTTAAAGCAGGAAGTCACATGTCTTTATTACTAGTTTTTATATTGTATAAATGGTATCTCTTCATGTGCTTTTTTTATTTGCTGACATTTAGGATATTTTACGCAAAAGTGGACAGACTCTGGCGAGCAGTGTCGTGATAACATTTTCTTTTGTTATAAACTGATTCATTTCTGCTCTATTTTAACGGAATATGAAATTCCTAAAATATCTTCAGAGAAGCAATATTGTAAGGAAAAACAGGAACTGGTCTATGATTTTATTCAATTCCGCAGACTTAATAACGACTTAATTACTGGTTAAGTTGAAAATACAAGAAACTACAGCCTTATAGCATAAAGTACTTCACATATCAAATTCTGCGTATTTGCTTGAATAAATGTACTTATTTTTGAAATCAAAATCTATTGTCATGATTGTACATGTACCTCCTGGAAAATCTTTCTTGCCTCTTGTGGCTGATGCAGCACTAGGTTGCCCAGAGGAGCTTAAAAAAATCATTATAATGCAGCGGCTTGAATTATTGCACTAAATTTCATCTTCAGAGCAGTGACATAAATTTGTGCTGGAAATTGGGGGATAAGGGATTTGTGGTTGGGGGAATGACTTGCCCAGCAATGTGAATTTGGAAGGGGGGTGGGGCTGACACTATATGGGGGATGGAGGGCGATGTTCATGATACAGAAAATCTCTGTTTGATGTGGGAGGTATGATTTGCCCAGCCATGTAAATTTGGAAAGGGGTGAGGCTGATGCCCTGTTCAGGGGGCGATGTTCATGATACATTCTGATTTTAGATCAGTGCATGAATGTAATATTTGTATTACATTCATGCACTGATCTTACTCCAGAATGGCATATTTTTGACATTTTTTTGGTACTTTTTTCCCTTTTTGAGTGATATTGAATACATTTTGGTTGTTAGAATTTCTGAAAAATTCTTCACAATCCACTTTAATTGTTAAACACCACAAAAAGTAGGGGGTGGGTTAAGTGTGCCCTCTCTTGGTCTAGCGAGGAGCCCATACCCCCCATAACCCCCTCCCCCGGATTTATGCCCGCGCTTCAAAGCATCACTGCACTCATTCTTATTCATATCAAAGTAATGCTGTAGGTGAAATGGAATCAAACAGATGTACGCGTACTTACCATCCACTTCAGTTATTTCTGCACAGTCAATTTTGATGATGAATGAGTAAACAGCATTCTGCAAAGAGTGGCTTAGATAAGTGTTCTTTTCTTTCATTGCAATTTGTTTAAAAATCCTGGTGCACTACGTGTATGTCTACCTGTTCATCCAACTGCAAAACTATGCGGTCATTCAAATATTTGGGCACATGGATCGAGCTGCTTCAGGAACATAAATCAAAAATGCCTTCACCATGTTCACATCAAGACAATGTTAGACAGAATGTCAGAAGCTATCATCATGCTGTTTAGTGCACCAATGAGGGAAGGACAAAAGGCTCTCTTTAGTGGTGTACTTTTTGTTCGGTACAAATCTCCATTTATATTATTGGTACAGTACCATTTCACATTTTAAAAGGCATTATTAAATAAACTTCTGGAAAAAGGAAAACAGCTCACACAACATTTTGAAACAATAACTCTCAAAAGGATACATATATTCCAGAAATTTCCATCTTGCATGTGAACAATTGGGCCAGATTTGATGCAAACAATAATTACCTAACGTACAGTATATACAAAATGAACAGTAACATTCTACAAAAGTCTATGAATATACAAAGCAAATGCCATGCTAAGTGACCTGAATCCAGACACTAACCCTTTGCTAAGTTCTTACCAATAACCTTGACTGCGTGATCAGTGGATTTGAGGGGATCACATTACAATATTCTATCAGTCAATCCTGTGGGAAATTTCTAGCTTAACATGTACTTCATCTTTAAAAGTAATCTTTGAGAGACATGAGTCAGAAATAAGGTGATTGGCTAATGGCAGCGAAATCAACAGATGGTGCTGCCATGGAGGAATAAGAATACTGCAGTCTAGCACAGGATGACAAAGGTTGGGAAAACACTACCGACACAGGTACACTATTTAAACAACTTTGGTATGAAACAATTTGGCGAGGGAAGTCAATGGAATGCTTCACAAACCTCTTTGCTCTCTCTGTATGACAGACATGTTTTTTTCAGAGTGTCCAGTTGTTCTGTTTGGTCCAAATACCGTAAGGAAGCTTCTTGTAGTTGCAATTGGGAGTCACAGAGTTGATTTGACATGCTAGCACTGTTCATGCATTCCTAGAGTGAAAAATGAATGTTACAAATTAGCCAGTGTAAACAGAGGCTTTCTTTAGTCTTAAAGAAACTTCATGCTCCCCATGGACACATGTAATTAAACTTAAAGTGGTGTTGATGTGACTTTTTCTTTCAACTTTTTCCATACAAGAAATGTCAAAAACATTTCTCCCATAATTTTTCTAAGCTTTAGAACAACAAAGCCCTGTAAATGAGCACCATAACTGTGGCTGCTAGCAGGTAATTAGCAAGTTTGCCTACTCATGTGACAATTAGTACATTATTCAAAGTAATACAAAATGCCAAAACAAAACCAACCAAAAAACACAAACACACAAGACCTATAAGCCTAAAATGTTGAGCTTTAACTCGTGAACAAAGCAACCTATCCAAAAGTTTAAAAAACACAGTGATGATGTAGGCACATGTAGCCAGTTACTTTAACAGTGTGAATGTGTAGGCCTAATTAACTGAAGAAAACTTACCCAGATCCATAAAATAGGGCCTTAACCAACAAAAAACTTAGCAGCAAATAAAACAAAACATTGGACACTTGTTAAACATTTTTTAGTATTGTGGTGTGGAGAGTGGACACAGACAGATAGTTATGAATGGTTAATAGGAGTCATGGATACAATCCATAGTATTACTAGGCCTACTACTAAACTCTGCTATGCTTCTATCCTAGGCCTAGCACAACTGTTTAGGATGATGCAACTCTTGATGACATCCAGATCTGTGACTTTTCACATTATGACAAGTCAACACTGTTTTCATGTTGCTGTCTGGCTGTGACCTTGGGTTGCCAAAGCTTCCAGATAACAAAAACGTAAAGTTGTGTCCATCCATAGGCAGATACATAGGCCCAACGCCTAAACACTTTGGAGGCCCCTAGTTCCAGCATATCCAGGGGTAGGGCCTAACCCTACATTTCCCAGGCATTTCACTGCCAAACTTGACTGAGAATCTCATAGCCCTACTTAGTACTTTGAGTGACTTCCTCCCAAAACCAAAGTGACTAACCAAGAAATGTTATGGATAGCATCTCTACTCAATCTTTCACTTTCAGTTCATAACTTAAGTGGCTTAGGCCTAGGCCCTAAGGCTACTTCCCGTGAACAAACATGACAAAGGTAGGCCCTATGTTAAAAAAATACCTTTTTAAGCATTGGAAAATTAAGTAGAACAAAAAATGTCGTGTGAATAGAGAACTCGGGAAAAACATCAAAACATTAACGTTAGTCATTAGGCCCAACGTGAGCTGCAGGGGCCAATTTCATAGAGCTGCTTAAGCACAAAATTTGCTTAAGCACATAAAACCTTGCTTAAAAAACAAAGGTTACCAGCTCAAAATCTATGTACAGTAGGCCTAGGCCTCGCCAAAAGACACTGAATACCATTAACCAATATCACATGGAGTTTTGGCTGGTAACCTGATTTGTCAAGGAAGGTTTTTCACACTTTTTTCAGCAAATTTCGCGTTTAAGCAGCTCTATGAAATTGGCCCCAGGTGAGTAACCGCTCAGGCCCAGTGTTAAAATACTAATCATGCCGAATAATTTCCTAACAATGACAATGATTTATAACTGAAATGACTGCCTTCTGGCCTACCTGAAAGACATTTTCTTTAATTATAAGGTGACAAATCGCAAGCTTTAGAAGTTTCCGTGAAAGACCACATGAGAAAACTAGCGTTAAATTTGTGACAGAGAGATTGAAGTTTGAACAGTTGGTGTGACATTTCACGAACAAGTGGAGCAGACGAAAGCACTCGCAGACGCGCTAGCAGACGTATTGTTTCTTTTTCAAGGAACGCGCCATATCAGAGTCGGGTTCTATACGTGGTATCCATCAAATGTGCGAAAGGTGTCTGGGTATCAGATATTTTTCATTTTACTTTATCAAGGGAGGGCGCTGTGTTAAGAACATGGGCTCCAGGCGCGCTCGGCACGTGATGTGTGATGTACTGTAAGTAGGCCTACTTGACTTGATACTAATCTTGTTTATTAAAAAGAATTAGAAAGAAACTTGAAAGCATAAGCTTCAAGTATTGAAATAACATTTGTCCCACCTCTTGACACCCTGTGTACATGGTGCACAAACCTTCTAAGTTCGAGACTGGTCATCACTGGTCATGTTGTACATGTACGTAGGTCTGCGCCCAGGACCTAATTAGGCGTAATGCGTTAATAATGTCACTGCTAAATTTGGAAGAACACGTTATCTCTTTCTAATGGCTAATAAACCACTACAACGGAAAATGAGTGATGTCTCTGTAGGCCTATGGAGTACATGTATATAGAACTCTTATCCTGGAACCCTAGGCCCTAACCTAGAGGCGTGCTAGGCCCTACACACAAACGTACATGTAATTATAAGCCTTTGGCCTTTTTCAACCGGCACGACCAGGTCCCCTGTAAAGTTGCCTCCTGGTTCAAGGCAGTTAGACCAGCAGTGAAGTGTGTACATGTCCCTGTATACGTAGGCCAATGTTGAAGTTACAGAACTGTAAGGTTTAAATTGTACAAACTCTGTAGATAGCCATGTACAAACTCCCACATAGGCCTACACATTTTGGCTGTTTTAATTGTGTCAACTTCCTCTTCCATCACAGCTGCATTAACCAAATTTCATACATGCCTTCTTGGTGAAGTTACATGTCAGATGAGGAGGCTTATTTACCTTATATCCTCATTAAAATGATGAAATTCTTGAACATTTGCATTTGCAACATTGTGATTACTGGATTGGGCTGGGGTTATGAAGGTTACCTGTAGGCCTAGGCCTTTGCCATTGTAAATCTCAGAAATTGTTAACGGCCTGCCTGATTTACTCATGATGGAGAGCCCATTTCTGCATTATCGACCAGCTGTTTAATGTGGATGAATAACTGCGCAAACAGTACATGTACATGTACTTAACGCTGTACAATCAACCAGTTGCAGAGCTATTGATAATCAATTATTTTTGATATGTACTGCGCCACTGATCAGTGTTGTGGAAATGGCACATTATAAATTTTCAATTATTATGATTATTAGTTACTAATGCCCCATTGTCCCAATTGTATGTGGTATGTGGCAATCAGCACCCCATTCTTGTCACAGTAGTATCCAAAAAAGATTTATTTCCAAAACAAGAGTAGAATGGGCAGCGATACATGTATGCACAGTTGCATTCTCATCACTGTGATGAGCCTATATGAATAGGACCCACATGTACATGTATTTAACAGGAAGTCGCATGGGGCAAAGATCGTCATATGTTTTTGGAACCGTTGATTGTATATAAACAGCAGGTATATTTAACTAACAAATTGAAATACCTTCATTCTTTGCAGGATTTGGGAATCTACTGTTAATTAGTGATGCCGTCCACCTTCCAACTAAACTATGCCTTCCAAAGTGTCTGATTCCCCAGTCACACAGTTTCGCAACTGTCGCATTCTGTACAAGCACCAAATCATCAAGGAAGACCTATGGGTACGAGACGGAAAGATCCTGAATCCTGAATCCCTATTCTTTGTGGAGAAAGGCTACGCTGACTATCAGCTGAACTGTGATAACTGCATAATAAGTCCTGGCTTCATCGATGCTCAAATAAACGGTAAATAAAATCAAACCAATTTCAGCTGAAGCAAATCCGTTCGGAGCCAATTTGATTCATCTGGCTGATGTTAAATGCCTGCTGTCCTTGGCATGAGAGGGCTGGGAATATTTCTGTTCTCCCCCATCCCCCCCTGAATGGGATGCCAGTCCATCACAGGTTACTCCTCAGTTAATGCCAGTACGCAATATACTCCTGGATGGAAAGAGGCAATTAGGGGTAAAGTGGCTTGCCCAAGGACACATCACACAACCTATTGTTAGCATTGTGATTCGACTCCTGACCCTCTGAGGCAGATCCTTAACCACTAGGCCCCCCTCCCTTACAAGTAATTCCTGTACATGCCAAGAATTCTCTTGAAGAGTGTAAACAACTGCTCGGGCCAATTTTATGGAGCTGCTCAAGCACAGAATTTGCTTTAAAAGCACAAAAAACCTTGCTTAACCCTCCTTTGGTTTTACAGCACAAATGTGCACAAGTGCCGAAGGTCACTCTCTTGCGTGTTGGTGCAGTGCACAACACGACACAATTGTGCTTCTTTGAGGTGTTTACCAAGTGACCCAAAGAGTGGCTTCAGCATAGGAGGGTTAATAAACAAAGGTTACCAGCTCAAACTCCATGTGATTGTCATGCTAACCAAAAGACAGGTAAACACCATTCCAAAACAATATACATGTACATCACAAGAAATTTTGGCTGGTAACCTGATTTGTCAAGCAGGGTTTTTTCATGCTTAAACAAATTTTTAGCTGAAGCAGTGCTGTGAAATTGGCCCCAGACACATTTAAGTAAAGCTTTTGTTTAATTGTTTTATTAAAACTTTGGTAAACATTTTATTTTTGTTAGCACAGTTACTGTCAAAGAAAGATGCTCTCTGGTTCCAAATTTAAAGTTTTTTCAAAGTGTTTTTTTTTTTCAAAATATGTTGATGCTCATTTTGTATTAAATTTATGTGTGTAACTTGGACATTCAGCAGATTGAAAAAATTCACATACATTGATGCACATTTACTTGGACATGAAATGGGTTAAAAAAATGCACATAAGTCTTTAGATCTATTGAAAATGCCAATCAAATTGATGATGTCTTTGACTCAACAAACACTTCAAGGCATTTCCTTTTGTGATTCCATTTGATCTGTTTATCGTCAGGCTGCCAAATTTGGATTGCCTTTTATTTCCTGTCATTTTGTGTTCAAACAAAGGTGCGTTTGGGATTGACTTCTCCTCTGATCCCGATTCTCTTGCCATTGGCCTGCAGAGGGTCTCCAAGAAACTCCTTGCCTATGGCGTCACCTCTTACTGCCCCACAGTTATCACATCCAGCCCAGAAACCTACAGGCAGGTACGGTCAACTTTGATTCTAGACCGAAACCTTTTCAGATCCTTCAAAGTCCATCAGGTGGTCTTAAAGGATTTTGCAGGATTGCAGAAGATAGAGCCAAGCTGTTTTATTCCGTTATTTTTTAAAGTGTCACCAGGGATGCGGATTGTAACCCTAAAAGAGCTGGGACTCTTTCCTCAACCCCCTCACATTTTCCCAGTAATATCATTATTTTCTTTGAGGATTGTTCACTTAATATCTTATCAAATATCATCATTTTGGCACCATTTGTATGAAAATCAGACATAATGTTGAGCTTTGAAGCTTCTCGTGGTGAAGTTGGCAAGTTACCGGTAGGTACAAGACTTGCATTAGCACCATGCAGAATATCTCGTTTGTGAGTATGTGTGGTTCTGATAGGACCAGCAGGTACTCAGTGCTTCAGACCCCTCCGATCCATCGTCAGGAGACTTGTAAGGATTCCAAAATGCTCTCGCATAATGTTTTCATGATAAGCTCTTTTATCCAAAAAAGGTTGGTTAAAAAGCTTAACTTTTCCCATGGACATGCTCGATCATCTCATGGGCCGACACACATGAGATACATGTCTGACAAAGCCCAGCTCTTTAACCTTAACCTTCCCCAACCACACAGAATTGAACACCGGCAAAGTGTGTGAATTTGTGGCACTTGGTACTGTACCCCTAAACTGCTTGTGCTTTAACATGGGTTCAGGCATACCCAAAATAAACAGAATCCAACAGTTTTTGTGCACAGTTTACCATATGGTGTTGGAATTTGTGTGAATGGGTATGGTTCCTAGTAACTCACTCTGGGGAGTTAGGGTAAAGGTCAAAGGGCTAGCCATTGTTACCTTACACTGGGTTCCTTGCCCTCATCAAAAGTCAAAGTAAAAAGAATTTGCCAGGTTGGAATTCTATTGGGATTGGAGAAGATTTCTAGCAAACAGCATACAGCTTGACAGTTGCTTATCAGTAAATTTCATATGGTTGTCCTTTTCTGACAGTTTTCTTCAGATAAAGAGATGATATGCCTGTTGATTTATTTTTTCTGTCTAGTGATCGTTGGTCTAAATCCAATCTTTTCTTTTTCTCGTAGATTCTTCCCCAGATAAAAAGAACAAACGGAAGTCATAATGGTGCTGGTGTCTTAGGTAAGCTAAAAAAAACTTAACCTTACCCAGAAATTCTGTCTCGTTATTTGCCAAGATTGCACCTTTTTTAGCACAGTATGTTGGACTTCTGAAGAGATTACAGCCTAATTTTAACAAAAAAAAAGGTTTGTTAGGCAAACAAAGAATCAAAGTAGCATTTTTGGACATGCCGAGATTTGGTGCACGTCTTATCGAAGTGTAGTTTTTAAGAAGGTGGAGTAGATTTTACATATCAAATTTTCCAAAGCCCGCCCATGGAGAATTTCTGTTCATAAAAGTTTCCCCAATTTCCTCTTTGGCCACAGGAATCCATTTAGAAGGGCCATTTATCAGCAAGGACAAGCCCGGGGCTCACCCCATTGAGTTGATTAAACACTGCGAACAGCCATGCAGCTTTGAGGAGTTTCTACAAGTCTACCACTCACTGGACAACGTTGCTATTGTGACCCTTGCCCCCGAATCTTGCCAGTCAGCGGATGTGGTGACGAGGCTGTCAAGAGAAGGAATAGTCATTTCACTAGGTAGGTGCCTGCAAAGTCCACGCATTGGTTCCTTATGACCTGGAGATAATGATCATACCACGGTCTTGCAGTGGGACTGTCCTAAAGGTACTTTGTGAACCCACAAAATCAAGCACTGAGGGGGAAATAGGTTTCTGTAATTTAACCAGATTGGAGTATCAATCCTCATGTCAAGTAAGTTTGCTGATCTGTGCCATTTTGAATATAATGAAAACATTGCCAAACCAAATGACGGAGTTATGAACCGTGTTATTGTTGTTGTGGTTGTTTGTTTGGTTCTCAAGTTCCTTTTGACCACTCTCTCATCTGGTGCAAAATTCTTTGGTAGACACAGGCATAACATTATTGCCTTATCTAACCCTCATCTTTCACTGCCTGTGCAGAGATATCCATTTTGTTAGTCCAAGATAAAGAGAGGCAATCGTTGTAAACAGTCTCGCTCAAGGACATAGACATGATAACTCTATTGAGGCTGGTTGTTTCGCGGCTATTGCCTCAGTCCTTTACATTGACTAAACCATTCTGAGCACAAGAACTCTTGTCTGAAGCGAACGATTCATCCAACGGATCGCAAGAATCAAACAGAACACATGAATGGCACACGTAGGAGTTAACAAGGCTGGGTAGATACTTTGGAGCCTTCTTCGACCCGTAGACATGTCCCACTTCTTTTTGTCATCATTTGTTTTTGTTTTTTCTTTCTCAGGACACTCTGTGGCCAATCTACCTCAAGCTGAGGATGCCGTCAAGCACGGTGCTTCTTTTATCACACATCTCTTCAACGCCATGCTACCTGTAAGTGTGGATATGTACTTGTGAGCCTTGATCTGGTGACTTAAAGAGAGGGATGGCTTTTTTCCCCCTCTTTTGTGTGATAAGAAGTTGTTAAAATTTGCTGATAGGGTTTTCTCGCAGCTTTTTGAATGGTCTTGTCCTACCTTTGAATGCCGGTTTTCGGATAACTTCCCAATTTCGTGAGAGTTACTGACTAGGTAGGTGTCAAAAAGAAAATGTCCCTGGGAAATTATATAAGTTCTAATCCTTACAAAAAAAATGCTTGTATAGAGATTAGGGATTAACCGATGATCGGATTGGACATCGGATTGGGCCAGTGGGCAACATCGGCAAAACATCGGATCGGCAAAATCTGACCTTCCTTGCCAATGTGAGTCCAAATGCAAATTTCATATTTTTTATTTGAGCATGAATAAAAGAGTGTTTTTATTTCCATTTGGTGAGATAAATGAACAGTTAAACCCACCTGAAGCATCCCTGAAAATTACATCTACACGATCCGTGCTGCAACATCTCAATGCATGGACTGTGGGCCAGGAGCAGTCAGTGTACATGTTTACCATTTCCATTCATTGCCATGAAAAGAGCCAGGGAACTACACCGCGTGTGGCACCATGAGTTGCTGTGTGACCAGTCTCAGGGTAGCCTGAGATTTAGCCTTTACTCAAGGCATGCGTGGCTACCTGGACACACGATGCACACCTCAGCCATTGGTGCGACAAAAACACCAACTCGAGTGGCGAAGCCACGAGCTAAGCATGGTGTACCAGTGCTATGCCTTGACTAACATGGCTAAAGGCTGGCCATGATTCAGGCCGAGGTGCTGTGTGTCTATTCTTAATGTATGCATTGTGTGCATTGGGTTTGAATACAACGGAGCACATACAATCGGTATCATGCAAAAGGCGATGTGATGTACACAATTCTCTCAACTCAGTGACAGTAAAGGCAAAAACCTAATCCTATTCCCAGTAATGTGTAAACTGACATTTTAAATTTTAAGGGAGTACACTGGTTTTGTGTTGTTATGAGCAGGTCTCCATCTTGTTTAGGTTGCATTTTCAGTTGTTGGTAAAAACGTCGCATCGGATCGGACATCAGCTGATATTCCACAGATAAAACCTACATCAGTTGATCCCTGTATAGGATGCTGGTGTTCCCTCACCCTGATCAATCACTGAGAAATCCTTGTTATGCCATTGCACACTACAGCCACAAAATGTGACCAGACCCAGCCGAACAATCAATAGGTTGCTATAACTACCTCTGAGCCGCATGCCTTCAAACATCTTGCAACTTTGGAAATCGGTCGGAACTGCCAATGTTTTTTGCCTCCACATACTCACACTGTGTAGTCTTGTCAAGATGTCAAAGAGAGTGTGACCTCAAAATGAAGACTCAAATGTACCCGGTCTTAGTTGTAAGATAAATATTGAAAGGTTCTTGTAAGGCTCATTATTTATGGATTTGGTCTGGAATGTAAAATGGAGTTGCATTTCAGATCTTGGAGATTGGATGCAATATTGGATTCTTTTGCTCCAGTTTCACCACCGTGACCCCGGCATTGTTGGACTCCTTACCAGTGATCAGGTCCCACCAGGTCAGACAATCTTCTACGGCATGATAGCTGACGGCATCCACACAAACCCTGCAGCTCTCAGGATAGCGTACAGGGCCCACCCTGAAGGTAAGGCATGCTCGGGGTATGGGTAATTGTCCACTTCTGTTTGGGCCGTTTCTGTTTCTCATCGTCAGTGTGGTGTTCACTCTTTGCAGTCACCTCCCAAGTTTGGTTTGCCACAGATTTAACTCGCTAGCCATGATTTGTCCTCCCATTGTGCCTTCCTGTTAATTAAAAGAATAAATATGCACGGCTGGTCTTAAATACTCGTTTAAGACCGACTCAGGAGAAGGGGCACGACTTAAATGCTTGCTCTACAGGCAAAGGTATTAATAGCATCCGTTCTCAGTCGGTCTTAGGCGAATGTTTAAGACTGGCCAAGCACATATTTATACCAAGAAGTCAAAACAAGCTTTAAAGTTACAACTTTGAAACGATTTTGCTCAACAGTTGTACTCAATTTTTTTTTTTCAACCACCCCTCTTGTCACTTCATGGTATGTTCCTCTCGCGGCTAATCATAAACAGTCGACTTATATGGAGATAGGCACACACGTGGCGTGTACTATCAGAGGTGGTGCAGAACTGAATGAGCCGATGGCGAGAGATGTGAAACTAGCCTCCATTCTCCTGCAGCAGTTTCAACCAATATTTCAGACCGGCAAAGCACAGATTTATTGCTCTTCTTAAAAACTTCATGAGTCAGAAAATAAAAACGAGTTTAAAATTGATGAATTTCCAATCGTTTTTTTCACCAATTTTACTTCAATTTTTCCAAGCACCTGTGCCTCTACGAGCCTCTGCTTTATCACTTGTTTTAAGACTGGCCACATGACATGCTATTCGCTTCTTTGCACGCCTCCGCCATAGTCATGCAGAGCCTCGATCTGGCAGCTTCCCATGGATGTTGCTTATGTACTTTTGTGCTGGCTGCATTTAGTTCTTATACCAAGCAATTGGACAAAGCGATAGAGGGATTTCACATTTGCGCCATCTGCGCATATCTGCATCGAAACCGAGGCTCTCTGTGTTGAACTACGTCGTGCGCGCCCGCGGAGTCGACACAGTACATGGAGTATATGGTTCGTAAGTGTGACGCCACTTCAGTTTAAACCACGCCCACTGCACAAGATACACGGCATTCGCAGGTACGTTAGTGCGCGGTCAATTGTCGTTATTTTTTCTTTTGATTGTACGAGTCAAGTCATCCTGAAAGACTCTTCCACAAAAATTTGCAGCCTGAAAAGTCTGAATTTAACATACCTTTATGTATTTTGTGTCTTGACTCCTTACTTTCAGTCGTCTGATCGTACTAAGAATTGAAGCTGACACATACAGCCTCGTTTTCAAATACGGAAGTGCGCAGATCAACGCTAAAAGCGTTGTATTGGGATCCCTCTATTCTGATGCCATTGTACAAGCTGCCAGTTGCAGGCTCTGCATGCCTATGGCGGCAGCGTGCAAAGAGCAACTTGACCAATGGCTAAAGAGTCTTTTAGTATTTATGACCATGGAATTTTTTTTTACTGCACAGGTGTTCAATCATTTTTTTTCTTTTTTCTTTTTTTAACTTGCACTGTCTCTTACAGGTTTGTGGTGTTTGGCCTACTTATGGGAGCCTGTAAAGGACACATCACATGTATGTGCATACTGGTTTACAGGCATATGTTGTGTAATGTGTGTGACTAATTTTGATTGAATGCGCTTCAAACACATTTACTGCTCTAGGTGCTGGGTATGCTGCTTCAAGAATAACCAGAAAGGAGCAAGTTTTGAGACAAACATGTTCAAACCCATTGGCTCATGAAGGTTTCAAATCTGGTTATTTTCAGTCGTGCATTTCCTTCATGCAAACTAATTGTGATGCACTAAAAACTTCCAACTGCAAATATTTATAATGTTAGGACTTACAGTATTTAAAGAGGACCTCTAAGGAAAACATGTTTTCTCTGATTTTATCTGTTCAAATAAATATGGACGCATCCAAATCGAATGCAGTGTCATTTGTCTTCAGAGCTCAATTATAAAAACTCAAAAGGTTTTTTTTTCCTCTGTTTTTCTCACTATTCTGAATGTTGATTGCATCATTTGGAGAAAACAGAAAGTGAAGGGAACTCTCACCGTGTGTTCGTGGTGGATAAACCCTTGTGCCTGCCAAACAATAGCTACATGCATTGTTTGGCACGCACATACACAGGTTTACCCACTACAAACACAGGACAAGTGTTCCCCTCATTTTCTTTGTTTTCTCTGAATGGCACAATCTACTTTCAGAATTCGCATCTTGGCATGAACAGAAAAAAAGCCTGTTTCGCTTGGTATAGTTGAGCTCTGAAGACAAATGACGCTGCGTTCCTTTTGTATGCTTCCATATTTATTTGAACAGATAAAATCAGAGAAAACATGTTTTCCCTAGAGGTGCTTTTTAACAGTATCTGTCATTCAAAGGCGCCGATATGCTACCATCACTTTTGCTTATCAGGCTAACACTCCCTGAACATTTCGGAAACCATCTCAGCTCCTTTAGGGGTCGGATCCTACCATTTGAGGCAACTTACTGCTAAACACAAGAACCGTGTGCGGCCTGACAGGTACCCAATTACTCCTGGTTAGAGAGAGGCATGTACACCAAAGGGTCAAGTGACTTGCTGAAGGTCACGACATGTAACCACCTGCTGGGATTTGAAACCCTAAACACAAGGCCTGTCATTCCGTATTTGTGGGTACAACATACAATTGAAATTACGCAGAAGTTGCGAGGACCAAAAATGTTATGGGGACTCCATATGGGTTTGGTCCCCACAGCTCGGTCTTGACTTTTCTAAGAAGAAACATCATCCCCTCAGTGCGGTGATGGCAGTACCCACCTATTTCCATGCAGTTTCCGACATACCATTTTCTGGTTCTTGGTGCTTCAGCTGGAAAATGCTGGCCTGTCTTATGCCCAGAGTGTCCAGCATCATTCAAAGTGCACTCTTCGTGACTGTTGCCAGTTGAAAACAACAGTGGAGCCAATTGGATGATTGTGTGATTTTGGGTGTCTCTGTGTGTGTATGCCAGGTATTGTGCTGGTGACAGATGCCATAGCGGCTACCGGACTGCCGAGTGGCATACACCAACTTGGCAGCGTGACCGTGCAAGTTGATGGGGACCGGGCTTACGTGGCAGGAACACAGACGCTATGTGGAAGGTGTGTCTAGCGTACATGAAACAAAACTAATGCAGTGAATTCAAGCAGCTCTTTAATAGTCAGTTTTGTTCTCAGTACCCAGGAGTAGGCCCGTATGAAATGAATGGATTTTGCTATTCGCCAGAGCACAGGTTGTAATGGACTTGTCGTATACTTGGTGTATACCATCTTCATCAGAGAGCAGAGTTTTCTTAGTGAACCGACAGCTGCCAGTTCACTGATCCTAAACCTCCTAGATTTTAACATATTACAGAATGGTTTGGAGGGTTGAAGAAGACAGATCCCCACTACAGTTACCTTCCCTTTGGGCTTGACACTCCTTTAAAGTTAAAGTGCAAAGAACGTGCCATTTGTTTTCTACCTAGTGCAGGATTTTGGAGGATTCGTGATGATAAGGGAGGGTTTTGGAAGCAAACAGTCACCGTTAGCAAGCCAGATAGGTGCTCAGTTTGTCAGGTCTTGTGGCATCACATGCAGCTTGTAAACTACATGTGCACATGGTGTGGATCTCATCACTGAAGAGATCAATATTAATGTGTCCATTTTTTTCTGTTAACATTTACATGAAGTAGTCATCCATGAGTGAGTTGAAAATGGTTGAATCTTGGTATAGGTACCAGTATTTATCATATGTTCCAAAGCAAGATTAGCCATGTATACAAGGTTTTTATCCGAGGCTGCCATTTTGGAGTTGGACAGCTGTTCATACACATCGTGTACAAGAAGCAAAACAACTGAACAACCGATAATGGTTGAAATAGCAAAACTGTACTGTCCATATAACTGTTCGCATGCAGAACCCCTCTTTTGAGTCTAGAGTGGAATGTTAGGATCAAGTTGAATTTGTGTTGCTTTTGTATCGACCGTCAGCACCGCCATGATGGACAGCTGTGTGCGGCACTTCAAGCAGGCCACAGGTTGCACCACAGTGGAGGCCCTGGAAGCCGCCACCCTCCACCCTGCCCAGCTCCTCAACATCCATCACCTCAAGGGCACCCTGGAGTACGGCACCGACGCCGACTTCATCCTCCTGGACGAGGGGCTGAACGTCAAGCGGACCTACATAGGAGGCAAGATGGTGTGGGATGCTAGCCCCGCTGAGGAAATGACAAGCAGGCCTTTCTTGTAAATCACCAGTAAAATGCGGTTGGCGTTATTCTTGAGTCGGCCATCTTGAACCGACAGCAAGGCAATCCCTGTATAGATATTCTGAAAATTGAATATATGTTGGAATGAAGATTATGCAATGGGGCAAATTATAGATTACTGTCCGTGTGTTCCGATGGGCAATTCCAAAGTATAGATAAAGCATCAGGTCGTCTTTATGTTTTTGAATAAAAGTTAAAAAAAAGCAAAACGGGGCTGTACCTTTAACTGTGGCCAAATAGGCGTCTTCCTGTTCCGAGTGTTCACTGAACAAAGTGGATTCAGGGAGTGCAATCCAAACTGGCCATGTGAAAAAAAGCCCATTAAGCATTAGGGGTAAGATGCATATCATTGCACCCTATGGGGGTACAGCTCTTCCCATAGGTGCCGTATTACATCCAACTCTTATCCAAGACTCTGTGATTCATCTTAATAAATCACTTGTGAATTTGAGATATACCTTGTGTCTTTATGCCGACATTTAAATTGTGAAGCCTTACATGTACTTGGATGCAAAAACAGACACCATCTACCATTTTATATGCATTACCAAAATCCATCTCGAAATGATCAGACATCCACCTTGAGAAAATAAACACAAATCTTCATTTATTGATCACTGATAAAACTAAGTACATTTTTTTGGCATCCAGATACCTTCAAAATAACTTGTGGTTTATTTCATTTCACAGAGCATACCATGGCATCATGGCAAACTGCTCGGTGGGGAATTACTCGTTGGAAATACCTGTATGCTTTATACCTGAGTTTCAAGTTTTTAATGACAATCAGGATTTCTTGTGTACATGTACCTGTGTTTGCAGCAGGCACCTGGTTCCAATAAAGCACATTCCCCGCAATTGGCCAATCTGCACGATTGCCCGTTCTCTCTGCACGATTGGTTAATCCATCTTGAAAATTCTCATTTTACTTCCCCGTTTTTGAAAAAATCTTCCACAGCCATGACTTAGGAAAAACTAGCTGATGGTCAGTTTATTGACAAATCGCGCAGTAAGATTAACCAATCGCATAAGGAGGGCAGTGATCACACAGATCGACCAATTGTGGCCAACACACCTGCATGTAAGCAACAGCCCCGTTAATCAGTTTGTATCAATGCACTCAGCAGTTTGTAGATAGGAATATTTCTACAGCAGGATTTGAACCACAGACATTTCAACTTCCATATCAAGTCTCTTGTTCCTCCTAAGCGTTTCACAAACACTCTGTCTTCCTCCCTTCCGTAAGCTGTAGGCATCCGTAATTTATGCATCGATTAAAATTCCTCTTAGAGAATCTTCCAAAATCAAATACTTCCTCTCTTCAAGATCCCTCCGTCCAAAATGTTTGGAACCGCTGGGCAGTTGAAGAATGATAAAGATGTATTTCCTTACCATGAGATATGCACTATATACTGACACATGCAGTGTATACCATAAGAACCACTGGTATTTTCATTGAATTATATGTAAATCCAGTTGCATTTATTTCATGACCAGCTTTGAAGCATTTTGATAAGGGTAGTGCGGCACACGTATCCCCAACCTTCCACGTTCTACTGACACTAATTGCCTGAGATATACACATAACTGGTTTGTTGGCTTACAGAATGTAGAGTTGCTATATTTCGCATGGATTCCATGTTGCAAATTTGTGGAAATTTGCAATGTCGTTTCTTTGGTGTTTGTGGTTATTGGCAAATAAAAAAACTGGAAAGTCCAGAATCATAGTTTGATAGGCGTGGTGATACATTTGTATCATTTTGAATCGGTGGTCATCGGGTTCCTTCAAGTGACAGTTTTGGTTACATTTTAAAACAGGAAATTAGTAAAACTATGCTTAGGACGTTTTTTGTTATACTTTTGACTCCGTCTAAGGAACCTTGTTGTAAATAAGGTATTTTAGCACCTTTTTGTACAGTAAACACAGAAAATTTGACATACCAGTTTCTGGGAGACAGATTCATAAGAACTGTTTTCACTAAGACATCTTTATTTTCATGCTAAATATAAATTTAAAAGGCCAAAGTAATAAACCAGTTAGGAAAATGTTTCTGTTTGAAAATATGTGGAATATGATAGATTAACAAACATTTACTAACCAATTTTACCACAGTGCTGTAATTCACTACCCAAAAAGCATTTAATTGTTTCATTGTGGTACATATTCTTAACAATTCCTTGAATCCTGTTTGCTACATTTTCAAAGTTTGTTGGTTTAAATAGAGTGATCAGTGTTAGAAAATGATTATGAAAATAATAAACAGACAAAATTCCATCTCTGACAAAATTACTGTTCATCTGTCCCAGTTTTGCTTTCACGGCAAGGAATCAAAACTATGCTTCTAACACCTGGAGATGACACCATGACCAGCATGTCCCCTCCAAATGTGTTTATCTATCAGTCTACCAGTGTTGCAGACAAGTCCATCACAAGTCCATAAGACCAGACAAAAGTAGCAGGCTGAATAGTGACAAAGGGATGCGTATCGCGGTTCATTTGAGTAGCACTTGACTTGTTTTAAGACTGGAGGACTTGTGATGGACTCAACCACCATACACAACACCAAGAAAGGGGTTGGAAGCAGACCATTTGGGATATGCAGTGTACATGTTAATATATCTCATACATATTCATGATCTAGTACTTCAATCTCCTTCTGAAAAGTAGAGAAATGGGTCAACTGACTCTCTGGCCTGATGCACAGTGGAATCAATGTCAGGGACCTCCTCCAGAAGCCTTTTTCCAGTGACAGATTTTTGCTGTAACAAAAACTTGGACCACTGTACGAAGGACAACCAAACGATAAGTTAAATATTTTTCCTCTTCACAGTACACTTGGCATTTTGTAACCAGATTTTGCTGCAAATCAGTATCCACTGAAAAAAGAGCAGATGGGAAACCCTCTGTTTGGAAACACAAAATGATTTTACATTTTCAGTGCAGTATTTTGTAAGCAGCGCATTCACGAGTTTGCTCTTCCAAATCCAGTGACGTAGGATTCCCCTCAGTAGCCACATTGGATTCAGCAGGCTGTCTTTGATGAACTGCACTCAAGAACTTCATTCACAAATAAAGATGAACATGTAATACACATGTACATGGTAATTTTGACAGCACGATCAAAGTGCATTAGTCTTGATGTCCATGCTGATGTGACGTCAGTGACGTTGCACATGCCAATACATGTATGTACATGTACATGATAAATGCAGAAAGGGGGCGGCAAACTTAAGTCTTTGATTCGATTTGCAATGTGTGTAAATTGTCAAAGTCATGGCTCATTCCCTCTTAACTTCACGTATAGGTGGAGCTTGGGGCGTCTCTTTGAATGCCGCCCAGAGAAACATGGCAAGGACAATGTGGACTGTGACGACAGCCGTCATGGCTGCATAGAAGATGCTGTCAGAGCCCTTCATGTCAAACAAACCTGAAAAGGAAGCAACAATCAATGACTATTAACCTCAATTCCTTTGATGTGTTTGGGAAGGTTGCTCCCCAAGACCCCACAAAGTCCAACACTGCTGCAATGTATAACCTCATGGCAAATTTTTCATCCTTTTGGCAAGTGAAATATATAGACTCATGTATGTAAAGTAATGGTGGCTGTACTCTGGTCCTGGATCCATCAACATCTTACAAGGCAAGGTGTTGGATTTTATAGTGTGGGACTAGTCAAGGTTATCATTGTGAGAGTGTACTTCACTACTCTTCACTGCTTCACAAGAAGGAAAATTCATGTACACATGTATGAGGATTGAGCTTCAAAGTACATGTAGCGATCATGAGCCTAGTCCTCCATGATGAATACAATCATTCAATCAATTTGTACAATGTACGTGTACACAAGATTTTTAAGACCCATGGACATGATTCACATGTAATTGTGGTGCCATTTGGTTTCCAGAAGTAGATATGAACATGAAGGAATAGTCTATTCCTTCCTCCGTGATATGAAGATGTACAAATGTACGTGTCCAACTAGCCCAGGCTGGACGACATCTACATTACATCGCAATGTAATGTAGACGTTGTCCAACCTGGGCTGGTGTCCAACTTGAGCTTACCATCAAAAATGAAAGCTTTGGAAAAGAAGTACATAAAAACTGGGAAAAACAGCATAACGCCTGAGTAGAGGAAAACTGTCTTGAATGGCGACATCGTGGATGGACCACCAATTCTGGTAACAATAAAATAGGAGAGAATGTTTTTAAGCAGGATGATCATGAATATGAAGGGGAAATCACAATTAATTCTGCTTGGCAATCCATTTTTAGAATTCATTCAATTCATTTTTAGAACTCTTCAACTGCTAGAAAGGTTAACGAACACCATTAACCACCATGCACACTGTTCAGCATCGTTGACATGTAGGTCAAGGTACAAAATAGAAAATAATTTCACTTTCCTAGGCCTATGTACTCTTCACAAAATTCATGGTTGTAGAGGTGATACACCACGTCAACGGATGCACATACGGTAGGCTTACTGCGACATTTTCAGTAAAACAATCCTCCCCGTGCATCCATGCTACAGTATGTCCTCATGATGATGATGTACATGTAGGTCCTAGCTACATGTACAGGAGCTACGTCTGCTCATGGGCCTACGGTGACACGCAATCAAACATGTCAAACATCAATACAATTTCGGCTGGAATCCTAACGGATTTTCATAGGGATGATTACACATTTCCAGTCAACATGTGGCTGACAAACTTTATAGAAGTAAAGTAATCGTAATCGTAGTATTTGTTAACACAAACCTATGCACTGCCACATCCGATTTATCTGCCATTGTTGACCAGCTGTATGTTCATTTGATGCCCGTGTTTTTGTTACAGCGCCCTCTATCGGACGGTTGAGGAATTTTTATAGTCAGACTCCTTAATGAAATCTCTTCTCTTCCTAAATTGTGCATAGTTTCTTATGTATAGGCCCAATGACGTTGAGGTGCAAGACAGACATTGTTGTGCTACAACAAGTGAAAAATTGCACAGCACAGGTTGCTCAATCTCACTCTCAGAGTCTCAAATCTGACGTTCAGAATTACGATTATGGTCCCAGAAAATAAATCGTAGGAGGATGAATTTGCGAGGTCTTTTTCAGGACTTTAATCCAAGGTAATTGTCAGTTTTGATTTATCAGCTGAATGGGTGTTACTCAGTGTCGTGATTGCCGTGATTGAATACTCACTCATAGCCCCACTGTACTTGTGTGGCATGGATCACTCCCGATTTATCCTTAGCCACACATCCGTATGCGCAATTTCGTGTTGGCGTACTGAACATTTTTGGCGCACCCACTTATAATCGTGGGCGCAATTTCTTTTGCATACGAACATGATTCTTGACCTTTCCGTTTTGTAAATACTATTTATTGAATGATTTCACTCACGTTATTCAGGTATTTTCTAGTC